GATCTAAGCGTTTAAGATTGCTTCTGATATTAACAGCTTCCTCGAAAGATTTTATAATTTTATTATTCCATGAAACAAGAAGTCCATCTGCAGAACGCTGCGGCTAATTTTTTTCGTTTCAAAGAAAATAAACAATCATTTTCAGACTTACGTGTCCCTCATGCGCGTCATTCAACGAAAACAAAACCGTAAGAACCTGTCTAAACGTCGTTACGCCAACAGCAAATGATGTCATGGGATGGTATGTCCAATCACAAGTACGAATGTTTCCCTATGCGCGTGACGCGGTACAGAATGCTTATGTGCTGCCGGTAGGCATAGTAGTGTTGTAAATAAAGATACAGCTGTGCACTTGACGTTACTTGGAACCATTGTTTCATTCTCATCGTAACCTTGCCCGCCAAAGGTATGTCACTTAAATTCAAAACCGTGTTAAAAACAGCATTAAGATAATCAACTTTATTTAAGCAAAGCCTCTGAACAGAAAATATTTTTATTACGTTATGAAGATTATAGCGAGCACAAACAGCTTCTTCTTCATTCTGAAGTTCATTGGCTTTTACGTGTTAAGGCACTCATGAAACTCTTTCAGTTAAGATAGGAAGATAGTACTTAAGATAAGAGTTAGATAAGAGTATTTGTAGCAAAATTAAGTTAAGATAGGAGTATTTGTAAGCAAAATTAAGGCAGATTTTATGCCCTTTCTTGCTGATGATATGCTAAATATATATTGCAGATGTATTCTCAAAACTATGGAAACCAGATATGTCTGCAAGATAATCCGTTGACTCTTCTCAATGCCCAAGAGAAAATAATAGTTTTTAAGGAGAAGGAGTTTGAGAGAAAACTTGGTTTGTGAGTTAGTTGTGTAAAACCGAGAAAATCCTTTCAACCTTAGATATTGTTTAGCGGAAAATGACACCATTATGAGAAAAGAATTATGAATTGATATATGTTTGCGTCTCTTAGCTGTGAGGTCATAATTTGAAAGCAGCTTTCCAAGTGGTAAATATAACGAATTTTCACGGATTCCTGATCCTTACCATTGCGATACTGATAATAACAAATTATCATTTACCGAAAGAGAGCAGTCGAAGATCGACACCGAACTTTAAGAAACTTCAAGCTGAATTTGTGATTAATGTTAGTCCTCATTACCACTGAAAACCGAATATTGTGAACATGAACGGTGCTTTAAAAAATGTAATCCAGTTTGCTTCTACGTATCTGTATGAGAAGGGGTTTTCATCACTAATTTAAATAAAAAAAAAATAAAGTATCGAAATAGACTCGATGTATGTGCCAGTCTCAGATTTAAACTTGCCAGCATATAATCAAACGTATAACAGTTATGTAAACTTCTGCTGGCTTATTCATCTCATTAATATGAGTACCAAAATTGATTGAATTTTTTATGTTAATAAAGTAATGATTATTCAAACTCTAAAATTTTGAATTATTAAAAACGAATGCAAATTTTCTTCTGTTAATTTATTCAGTTACTACCAATATCAAATTTAACGAATTTCAATTAATTTTACTTTAAAAATATAAGGCAGTAATATATGCTAAGAAATTACTTTAGAAGGGAAACTAAGTTTAAGTTGGTCCACAGAGTATCCTAATTTATATAAGCGGTCGCCACTAATAAAATGTTTGAGAAACGCAACTGAAAGACATTACAAGTAAATGCTAATGTATTTCATTAGATATTAAACATTGAAATGATTATATTATTGGAATATTCCAAGGAAATCGAAAATTTATCTTCGAATGTCTCATTTTCGTGCATTTCACATTTAGATTGTAAAAATGCCATCTGTCTTCCATGTTCATTTTTTATATCCCTCATATTTTTTAAGAAAAAAAAACTTAAAAGACACAAAAATAGATTTTTGGTGACAATGAACGTATTGAATTTCAGTGTCTATTTAATAACTAATTCATCAATATTTATTCCTAACATAGTTGAAAATCTGAATATATCCAAATAGGTTTCAGACCACACTTCTAAAAGTAAGCTTGCTTACTTTTCATTTTATATCATTATGAATAATCAAATTTAAATTTGCATGAATGTAACTTCTTTAACTCGATTAATAGTTGGAAACGTATAACTGATTTAAAATCTCGTAACAGTTCTTGAGTTTAACCTTCTTTGGTAGTATAAACTAGTATCAAACTCCTAACCGTCTTGGAGCGAATTATCGTAGTGCCTGAAATTAGTGGCAGAGACTTGGAAACGGTTAAAAGAATCCTTTTATAAAATCACAGCTTTAACATAAATTCACATCTCGGGCTTGACAGGATCAACTAAGTTTTGTAAGTTTAAATCGCGTCTACTACTTGTGAAATTATAAATAACTGATTAATGAAAGCAATAATTGATAATTAAACAATAACAATTAATAATAATGATATTAAACAATTATAATGTTATTGAGCTAAACTCGCGTCTATTTTTCTGATAACTTTAAAACATTTTTCATCAAGCGTAATTCACCAGAGAGATTCAAAGAGTAAGTTACAGTGATTATTGTACCTGAAGAGCACTGTATTGAGCAATGTAATATAGTACAATCTGGCATAACATAATCACTCCATGCCTGCAAATCCTTATGGAAGCTTTCAACTAAATGTTCGATACTCTGGACATAAAAATCGTTGTCGTGATTTGGTTTGATATGTTTATTATGGCAAAACACTCGAAGGCTACCTTCCTAAGAGAAGGCGTGTTCTTGGAAGAATTTCTAAGGGAAACTGGGTCGTATACACGTCACACATGGGGAAAACCATGGAAACGCCCGTGCAGCCAGATCGTTCGCTCTTTGTCATTAAACTGTCGTATAATAGGTGTTTCCACTTAATTGCCGTCGAAATTTTTCATCTATTCAAATATCAAACATTTTCTGAGATTGCATCTTCGCTATTACGAGTATTAAGAAACATTTCATTAATCTGCATCCAAGTGTCATCTGGGATCGATGAGATTCATTTGCAAAATGAGCAGTTCCATTGCGTCTTTGTTCGAACTACAAATATTAATTTAACATTGGTTTTACCCCCCCACACACACACACACTTCGTTAATTTCTTAAGAAATCAAAGCAGAGATCATCTGCTTTGCTCACAAAAGTCATACACTTTCTCTTACTTGCACTTTACCCAGCATGCTGTACTCTTGCTACGATGCGTCTCTTAACTGCTGGCATAATGAAGTTAAGAAATCGTGGACAAGAAATTTATTCTAAACATTTATTACTCTTATTGCACAGATCTGTGATGATATTTATAACTCGCTTTTTGAATCATCTACATAATACGTAAAGCTAGTGGAAAACGATCTTCTTTAAGTCCATTACAGGATATTGCTTAACTTCAGTTGTAATGAAACCCTGGAGTAATACAATTTTTATTGCCAGATTCATTCTTCTGTCTCAAATTCTTTCACTTGCAAAAAGGAGCAGAAATATTTTGTACAATATGAAGAATTATGGAATATTTTGTACAATATAATTTGAAAATTATGCAGAAAGATTATTACTTTCAAATTTCTACATAGATTTCAGGTTATGCACTGGAAGGCTCATTTCTTGCAGCAGAGTCTTCATATTCTTAGGTAGTATTACTGTTCTAGTAGAATGCATGAAAAAGCATTTCCATTGTGAAATAATATGCTTTTACGCTGGTTTCCTAAGCATCATTAATTCATTTGTATTATTTCTAAAAGCTTATGTTAACTATCTACTCCATCTCTATAATTTTAATCATAGTAATACAGCTTAGTTCTACGTAAATGTAAATAAATAAGATAATTTAATAGTGTTTGTATGAGAAAAAGAGATTTTATACTTATGCGAGTTGCTAGTTTGTGTCTAATATTTAACTTTCTATAAAATCATATTCAGTTTCTCCTTTTTCGTCAAATGTAGTATTTTTAGGAAACATGTGTGTGTGCAGTTTATCACCAAACGAAAAAACTATGTGAAGAACTTCTCTGCACGATTTTATTTACATTTTTTGAAGAAAATCGACCAATTTTTGCTATTGGCTCCTACTGTATCATTAGTAAAATTATTAGCATAGAGTTTTCTAGTTCCTTTTAACTCGTTTTAACTAGTTAGGCATATTAAGATGTAATTTTAATATCTATCAAACTGAAATTTAAATATCTTCAGAATGAAATTTAATAATAATTAACAACATTTTGGTACGATAAGACAAGATTAAAATCCCAGTTTCTCGAACCTGAATAGTGATGGAAGATTTTCCATGAACTTGTTCTTATTATGAATCATATACTGTACAAGCAGCACTCATTGGATATTACTAAATAAAAGCTGATCCATGTTCATGGAATATTTTTTTTATTTTTATAAATGGTCAAAATATATTAGCTTTTCAACCCTGCGAATAAAAAACATTTTCTTCATTAATTCATTTTGCTGGTATGGACAGAGGAATTTATAATTACCTAGAAAATTTAGAATAATTTAGGAATAGTGCCATCCCATAACAAATGTTTAACTAGGTAACTGGGAATTTAGAATAATAAAAGTGGTTTTGAAGAAAGTTAGCACTTTCCCATAGCAGCGGAAACAGTATATACATATTGTTAATTTGAATCAACAATCTTCAATCCAAATAGTTTTCCTCTTGATAATTTACCGAAATATATTTGTTAAAAAAATTAAAGTAAATTTTGCGATATTTGTACAATAGTTCATTAACAGTTCAAGGCTATAAGCGATTTTTCGTTTTCAATTAAATCGCAGAGTAACTATTTTTTGGAACTTTCTCAAACATCTTTGTTTACGTTTCTTAAAAACGGGAGCCACGTGAATGGACTTCAAATTGCGAAATAATTGATAGCTCTCCACTTTCATTTTTAATAAAAAACAAAGCCATGTTTTTATCGTAGAGCGAGCCAGGATCAATGTCACTATATCTGGAAAGCCGTGGGCAAGCTTCACCCAGTTCAATCCAAGGCCCTTGCAGAACCGGCTAAAAAATGATATGCACCTTGAGGCACCGGTTGTCCGCCATGGATCTAAGATTAAACGGATGAAACAAAAAATAATCAATGACAAGAAGAATTAGCGGTCAATCTGAAATTGTTTACCCCAGAGTAATATAGTGCAGTCATGACCCTGAGTTAGGCATTTGTTCTTTTAACGGCGCTTGTGGCACATCGTTGTTCCTAGTCGAGGGAATACTTTAACCCTACACAACATCAAAAATTTAGGCAGGACTTATATTCTTTAATGTTTGGTGAATGACGAGACTAATTATTGCAAGAATCTGTGAAACGTGTTTTACATTTATCTAGTTCCCCATCTCGTATCCGTAGCTGTCATGTGAAATAGCCGTTCAAAAGTTTGAGATTTCGTACTGAAATTTATTTAATCTTAATCAAGACGAGCAGCTTATTTTAATTATGGCGAACTTACTAGGCGTTGTGATATGTATGACTGTTCTATTATCCATCCAAGCTCAAAATTCATCCACATTTTCATCACATTCTGAAATTGCAGAAATAACTTCAGTAACGACAAAAACTTCTGAAGATTTTAATGGAACTGCTACCACGTTAGGTATCATGGAAGATGTCACCACTAATCGGAACAATGTTGAAATGGCAACCGAAGCTGCAGACACATCTCTATTCTCTTCAGCTGCATCTACGGTTAAATTAGAGACAACAACTTTGCAAGAAGTAGAGTCAACAACTTTAAGCGTCTTACAAAAATGGAAGAAGTTCGAAAACGTCACAAAAATTTTCGCTAAACAAAGCGTGAAGGCTTTGTTACCTGGGCTTATGGAAGGAACGAGCAAAATGAATATCAGTGCAAGTTGTAGGCGTGATGTTCTTAAGCTCCTTGTAGGCTTAAGAGATATCAAGACCTGGGCCTTCAGCTGTAAGTACTGTTTTCTTCAATTTCCGTAGTTATAGTTATTCAAATAAATTATTCTATAAAATTATTTTTCACTATCATATGTCATAAAACTACCTGAAAGTAAAAACGAAATTTAAGAAAATGTTTCATATGAATAAAAAATATTTTATTAAATTAAAACAACAAAAAAATTTAGAAAGAAATGTAAAATTTGCAAAGCGCGTTTTGCTCATTCTTGAGACGTATTTAACCTAATTAATTAAATAAATAATAATAATTTAATAAATAATAATTTTTTATTTGTTGCTTTGTTGTGAATTGGTTCATATCCAGACTCATGTCAGCACATTAGTGAAAGAATATTTCTACGTCCTATTTCATGACCTTCAAGTATATTATTACCTTGTATTCAAATTTTCTTAATAATTTAAACAAATGCTATAATTTATTCAATTTAGTTCATTGCACTTAGCAGCCGCAGAGCCGTAAACTGTAGCATACACTCTTTAGAAAACTAAATCTGCATTTTAACAAATTGCAGCATATTTCACATATTTTAAAATACATTATTATTACTTTTCCCTGAAACTTTTAATATTCTACTAATAAAAAATAAGGAATAATAATAAAGTTTTCTAAAAGGTGACACGTATTAGTTTATACTAAATGAATTATTTATTTTTATTTGAATAAAACGTATAAAAATATATAAACATGTTATATCAATATAACCACTATTATTACTATACCAAAAGAAACTTGTACAAATTTTAATGAAGTCTAATTTTACTGTTTTGGGATATCAAACAATATTCACAAGTTCATAAAATATTTAGAAAACATTGTGTATCATGTTTCATTCATTAAATTACAAAATAAAATAAAAATCACGAAATAATGGAACGACACAGAAATTTTCTTCTCTTCTGTATTCTATCTACTACAGGCGAGATTAATTATTTTATTATTCTAAATTTTCAATTAATTTGCTCCTTTATTTGTTTCTGTTAGAACCAAAACATATTTGTCTTACCTCCAGTGATCTATGATGGCACTATACATATATACGTATATGTTTATTTATTTTATGATAGACATATTACATTTGCTTCCTATTCTGTGAAAGTTCCTTGTGTTTTTATAGAGCCCTAGAATTTGAAGGCACATAAAATTTTAATGTTTATTTAGATATAAATAAACTTTAGATTTCCTGTCTTAAAATTTCTGTCTTATATATCTGCTAAAATTACTAATAAAATAATCTCATTTTAAGTTAAGGCAAAGAAAAGCATTCTTAGGTTGCATAAATTTTAAATTAAACTTTATTGATTTCAAGGGCGATAAGTGTTTGTTCTTCAGGACAAAATTCTTAAAAATTTTTTTTTCCTTCTTGAAAGAAAGATCTAGGAAGAAACACAAAGGGAAACAACTGAAGAAGAAGATCTCAATCAAAAGTTGCTTTTAATAAAAATTCAAAAGTTGCTAATTTTAAATTTAACCCTTGCGCATTTATCCTCCATTTAAAATAAGCTGAATATGACGGCGCTAAAAGCCGCAGTGAATTTATTAGAACTAATGTAAAAATAAATAAATAAAATTTTATAATATTTTCAGAATAATTTGAATTAGCTACTTCAAACTAAAATGAAAATTAAAATAATATAAATTTCGATTAATTAAATAAAAGAAAACTCAAGAAATATATTGTATTAATTAAATTAATGAAATGAACGAAATTATTATAAAAAATAAATAAAAAAAACGGCAAGAATATAAATAATAAAATTTGAATTTTATTTTATTTCTTTATCATTCTTTTTCACTTTTAAATATCAAATGTTAGCTGTTTCGAAGAGATAAAGTTTTTCATTTTTCTTCTTTTCTATTATTTTTCCTACATATTTTCATAATAAAATAAATAACCGATTTTAGTCAATGTTTTAGGCTCACTTACTTAACTGCAATAAGATATTATATCATGTTTTAATAAATTAATATATTAATTAAAAATTAATTTTAAAATAATTACAAAAAATTTACAAAAGATGCCCATTAAGGGAAAATACTTGAAAAGTAAGCTGGAACTTTTATGACAGAGAAAAATATTTTGCTTTGTTCGTTTTATCATCCACGTTAATTTTGTACAGTTTATATTTGGTTGTTCACTCATAATTGTAATAGAAAATTATTCGCATTTTTATATTTTCTTTCAATTGTATGGCGTTTCATATTTCAAATGCTACAATTTTTTAATTATTTTCTGTAATTATAAATGATATCTCACTTTTCGGAACAGAATAAGGTTACATTGTTGTTTTCATAACGAGATACTGATGATCTTTTACAGGTTCCCTAAAATTTTTCGAAATTATTACTTATAACTGTCATTCATGTAATATAAATATATAATAATTATGAGATAAAAGAATATGATAATAATAATTACAAAAATTTATTTAAATGATAAAGAAATATTATTCAAAAATAGCTATATCAGGAAAAGGGAGTTTCCTGCTGGCATAACTTAGAAGGTCCTCCACGAAGGCATCCCTCCCCTTAGGCAGATAGCCCTCGTGTGCTTTGCCGTAATTAAATACACCAAACACCTGCTGGCATAAAATTCTCTCGAATGATCATACATGGTATTAATAGCAAGATATGGCACAAGATGTAAAAATTTATGCTATTATTACGATTAGATTTATGCAACTATTATGCGGTAAAAGTTTGTAAAATATTTGTTTAATTACTGAAAAAACGGGTTATTTCTGTAATGAGTTAATGAAATTAAAATAGGTTTGTAGCAAGTGTTATTTGATTTTTTTTTTTTAATAAGAACTGAGAGATATTGTGCGAAAAAAATGTGTATTTACTGGCAAAGTTTAAAAAAAAAATCAAACATGAAAAGTATTGGAATAAAGGCCACACAGAATTTAATATTCCTTTGTTAAATAACATTGCTGATTTAAATAAAATACATATAATAATTTTAACCACACGATTATGCTTTAATGTACTAAAAATTAAAAACAAAAAAAAATTTAAATTATCATAATATTTTCAGTTATACCTAGTTGAAAAGTAAAATCGTAGAATTGGAATAAAAGTTACTTAAAAGACATTTAAGCAAGTTGAATGCAATTATTCTCATATGTGTCATTTCTGCCTTATCGTATCTTTGGTCTCTTATATCCATCAAAGTTCTGTTATTGATTTATTACTTTTACTAAAACAGCTTATTTACTGTATAATATTACATACTTATTTACTATAGAGTATTACTACTTAGAGTTAACATTTTAATTTTTTTTGTTTTTTTTTTTTTTTTTTTTTTGTTTTTTTTTTTGTTTTTACTATATTTACTATAGAGTATTTATTTACTTATTATATTTATATTTCTTATTACTTTTACTAAAACTGCTTATTTACTGTAGAATATTACATACTTATTTACTATAGAGTATTACATACTATTTACTATATATTTATTTACTATATAGTATTTTATTACTATAGAGTATTTATTTATCCATCAAAGTTCTGTTATTGATTTATTACTTTTACTAAAACTGCTTATTTACTGTAGAATTACTTAGACATACTATATATAGACTTACAACTTTACTGTAGAATATTACAAACTTATTTACTATAGAGTATTACATACTTACTATAGAGTATTTATTTGTATGGCTGTAAAGCTCATTTACTAGTTTACAATTGGGTTCGCTACGATATTTTATTTTTAAGAATCATATTAATCATATATTATTTTTAAGAATTATATGATAAAGAATATGTGTCAAAGAATATATTAACAAACATTTAACACTAATTTTTAAAAAAGGTCTATATCAGTGGTTCTCAACCAGTTTTGCCCCATGCACCCTTTTGGCTACTTCTAGACCAGGGATCCCAGAGACGTCTAGACCAGGATTTACCTTAGAGCACATTCTAGAACATCGGTGAGGTGGCAGATTATTCCTTCAACATAAATTTATAGGTTTCCGTAGTCAATTATATACATTATAAAACAAAAGGGTATAAACTATATACATAAAAAATTATTCCAAAATTTTAAGATATAAAAATTACTGATTGTATTCTTATGTAAAAAAAAAATAATTCTTAAATATCACAGAAAAAACTTTACAAATTATTTCGTTTACAATTCGTTGGTATAAAACTTTTTTATAAAAATGTTATTCATAAAGTCAACGTGATATTTGGCATTGTGTTTCATAAGCCATTGCTATGAGTAGGATGATATTCCTGCTCGTAAGCAATCATCAAGATGTTCATCTGTAAGTTGAGATCTGTACATTAATTTTTGTGATATTATTGTTGAAAACAATGATATTTGGCATTTTTTAATTTTTAATAAATAACCCTGTCAGAATGGCAAATTGGTTAGGCCGTGTGATCCCGATCCCGATCAAACAGAACTTTTGGTAAAGCCATTTAAAATTATAAACTTACAATTAAAAATATAATTTTTAAGCAAATGTGCTTATATTTCTCTAATTAACTGCTAACTATAAAATATTTTACATAACATTTTACTGAAAACTTAAATAAATTTTTATCATGGTCGCACAGCAGTGTGGGCACACATAAAACCATTGGCGGGTGCAACGGTAACCGCGGGCATAGGGTTAGGAATCCATGCCTTAGACGATAGTCCCCCTTGAATAAAACTAGAGTTTTATATTTGTAAACTAAAACTAAATACTTAATAGGTAGATTAAAGGCTAACCGCATTCCCCCTCCCGAAACTATGAAATTCCCCCAGCCCCAGAGGAGAAATCCTCCTGGTTGTGAACACATGGTATATATATCAAGTTCTGAAACTCATCTCTGTAGAGCAGGGGTCGGCAACACCGAGCTCGCGGCCACCTTGTAGTGAATAATTTTATAGGATTCTTATTTTGTAGGAAACGTTATATTAATTAACCTGTTATTTACAATTTCAGCCTTTTCTATAATTTCTCCTTTCCGTATTCATCACCAGAATGCAAATG